ACTGTATGCATGCTTATAAGCATAAGTGATGGATGTGGACAACAGGGGTGAGGGTGAGGGCAGGATTGGGGGGATGAGGGGACATTGGGGGGATAAGGACACATTTGTAATATCTTATTCAATAAAGGGAAAAATATAAAAAAAAAATCCTTGCGCTGGCCAGTATGGCTCAGTTGGTTGTTGGCTGAGCATTCTTCTGTGCACTAAAAGGTCGCTGGTTCAATTCTCTGTCAGGGCACATAACCAGATTTCAATCCTCAGTAGAGGAAGCAGCAGACCCATGTTTCTCTTTTGCATCAACGTCTCTCTCTCTCTCTCTCTCTCTCTCTCGCTCTCTTTCTCTCTCTCTCTCTCTCTCTCTCTCTCTCTCTCCATCTCTCTCTCCTTCCCTCCATCTCCCTTTCTCTCTCTCTCTAAAACAAACAAGCAAAAAAATCACAACTTTTGATGAGACATCATAACATACCTATAATACCAAGCACTGGTTAGAATGTAGCAAAGCTAGATAGCTTAGAAATTGCTACTGGGAATATAAAATGGTACAGCCACACTGGAAAAGTTTGGCAGTTTATTAAAAAATAAAATGTACATACTACATGACTTTTCTTCTCTTCATTTTCTTCTCTATTTAATATCCCTCTTTTTATATTAGGGATATTAAACTTTTGTTTTTCACAAAGCATTCACACTCCTGGGCATTTGTCCAAGAAAAATGACTTAATTTTGCATAACCCTGGTCCAAAATGGAGTCACTTATGCTAAAGTGCAAACCTAGACTTAATACCTGACCTAATTGCAGTTTCAACCTTCTCCAGGAATGTAATCTTAATTGCTAAATCTGGAATTTCCTGGTCGGTAGCAATGAGGTAATCTGTCACATGGGCCTTTTTCATCCCTCAAAGGAAGCTGGGGTAATCTGTTTGATAAGACCATCTTTGTGGAAGGACAATCCTTTCTTTTCTTCTGCTAATAGCTTTCTAGTCTTACCCAGTTTCTACCTATAAAATCCTTCCATTTGCACAGTTTCTCAGAGCACCTCTCTACCTGCTAGATGGATGCTGCCAGATTTGTGATTGCTCAATAAAGCCAATTAGATCTTCAAATTTACTTGATCGGATTTTTGTTCTTTAACACTTTTTTTTTTTTTTAAGAATCCAGAGCAGTTATTTTGTAGAATGTCCTATGATTGGATTTGTCTGACTATTTGCTCATAAGATTCAGGGTAAACATTCTTGGCATTTTTGGCAGATGATGAGTTCTTTTCCAAGTACACCAGATCAGAAGGCACAGATCTCCATTTTTATATAACTTCATTAGTAGATTGCTTTTAGACAAAGAAAAACTCATTCACTTCAAATATAACATTAGCTTTAAATATATATATATATATTTTCATTGATTCTATATATATATATTTTTTTTTTTTCATTGATTCCAGAGAGGAAGGGGGAGAGAGAGAAAGAGAGATAGAAATATCAATGATGAGAGAGAATCATTGATCAGCTGCACCGAGCCCACAACCCGGGCATGTGCCCTTGACCAGAATCAAACCTGGGATGCTTCAGTCCCCAGGCCAACAGTCTATCCACTGAGCCAAACCAGCTAGGGCAACATTAGCTTTTTATAACCCTTCTTTACAAGCTCCACAGATGGTGGAGCATGGCTCAGTGGGAAAGACACTGAAATGAGATAAATGGGATGAGGTTTAGTGACAAGTTGTGAGGCCCTAGATTAATTTCTTAAAATCTTAATTTATTTAAAAATAAAAAGGGGAGGATTGGGCCAGAAAATTTCTTAAGATCCTTTGAATTCTAAAATTCTATGACTGTGAATAAAGTTGTAGTAGAGACAGAGCTAGATTTGCCATCAGGAGACCCGGATTTGAGCACCAGTTCGGCTACATACCAGCTATGTGAACAAGCTATTTAATCTCCCTAAGCCTCACAGAACTCAACCTCACAGAGTCCGGAAGGATTAAGTGAGTTGTATGTCAAAGTGCAATATAAACCTCAAAATACTACCTGAATGTCAGGTTATAATGTCCAGTTTCTATTATTTTGATCTAATTAGTCTATCAGAAATAGCGTCCTAAAGTGAGACTCAGCAATTTAAATTTTATAAAACCAGGAAAGTGCCAGTAGAGTTCATTGTGTGTCGTACTCAGTTTATGGAATTTCCAGTTTTATTCTATAAGTGCTTATGCTTTGGTGATTAATAATACAGGCTAAAGTTACAAATAAGTACTCACTTGCACAGGCCAGTGGCCTGTAAGAAGATGGTGGTTCTTCTAGGGATCCCAACACAGTACACAGAAACCATAACTTCCTCATTCAGTGATGGACTTGGGTTTTGAGCCATCAGGTCTGCCAGAGAGGATGGCAAACGGAGCCAGTGCACAGGAAAGTTGTCCTGTTCTTCAGCGAGCAGGGCAGTGGTAGAATAAACTATGCCTCCT